AATGTATATAAAGGGTGAAATGTTATTGTTGATGTAAATTTAATTAGATTTTTTTTTTGCTCTTGCCCAATGGGATATTGAAATAATAAGTAAGATAAGATAAATTGGCTTTAAAAGCTGTAAAACTTTGGTTAAAGAAGGATAGAAATAATTTGATTAGGAAGGGTAGTGTAAATTTAAAATAGTGTTCGAAATGTGTTTATGATGAGTTTCAAGTTATTTATAAGTTGTAGTTCATGTATAATAAATAATAGGGTAATAGGGTTTCATGGAAGTAAAATGGAATTTAAGGAAGGGGTTAGAAATATTTATTTTCATTAAAGTAATTTATTTTGGGAAACGTGAGTGTATAATTTTTGGCTACAAAGAGATAATGGTAAATGAATTGGAAAATACTGTTGCAGGAAGCTAATGGAATATGGTGATGTTTAGTGAAAAGGGACAAAAAATGTCTAATTAATATTTGAAAAGTTGTGAGAGCCTTACCTAAAGAGCATAATGTCTGTTGAGATCTGTTAGGAGTAATTCATATAATATCTAGGTAGCTAAAGTCCAACTGACATAGTAGAAATGCTTGCTTGGGAGGGAAATGTTCTAAATCTATTTTCAAGAAGTAAGGTGTGTTGCTGTATGTGGATAATAGCGGTTGTATATGTTTGTGTCTGTCTTTGTGTTTGTGTGGTGTGTGTTTATCACTCTTAAAACTCAATAAATATATATTTTTTTAAAAAAAAAGAAGAAGAAGAGGAGGAGTTCTCTTCACAGGCTTCCCCCTCCCTGGTGAGGAGGGGTGGGAAAAGAGCCTGGCTTAAATGGCCCTCTTCAGAGGCCGCCTGTGTGCCCAGCAACCTGATGAAGGCCTCTTCCCCCTCTGCTGAGGTGTGGTGGAAAAAAAAAGAGTCAGAATGGAGGCGTATTCTTCCCTCCGTGCTGGGGTGTTGTAGACAGAGCCTCAGAATAACTGGCTCTTTTCATGGGCTTGGGCTGTGTGCCTTGAAGTCACAACCCCCTTGGCACCAAAGCATTTCTGCCTAGTCATCCCTAAGAAGTCTCTGGCCTCTATGCCTTCGATGTCAACCTAGAAGCCGTTCCCTCCCCCCTCCCTTCTCTCAGTGCTGAGAGAAAGAGAAGAAAAGACTGGGAGGCATGGCCTGCCAAAGTCTGCTTGAAGGAAGGCCCCTTCCTTCCCTTCGAATGCAGAAGCTTGGCGGGGCGGCCTGACAGAGGCTGCCTGTCTTAAGGAAACTTCCCCCTCTCTGCCTTTCTGTCATTTCTGACCAGAAGCCTGGAAGTGTGGCCTCATGAAGGCCCGTTTTAAACCTTTGCTGTGCCTGACTGAAGGAACCTTTCCCTGGCTGTCCTCAGCCAGTTTGGTGTAGTGGTTAAGTGTGCGGACTCTAATCTGGGAGAACTGGGTTTGATTCCCCACTCCTCCACTTGCACCTGCTGATGTGACCTTGGGTCAGTCACAAGCTCTGGCACAGCTGTCCTTGAAAAAGAGCAGTTTGTGTCAGAGTTCTCTCAGCCCCACCCACCTCACAGGGTGTTTGTTGTGGGGAGGGGAAGGGCAAGGAGTTTGTAAGCCGCTCTGAGACTCCAAGTGAAGGGTGGGGTATAAATCCAATCTCTTCTTCTCTTCTTCTTCTTCTTCTCAGGTCCATGGTGGAATCTGTGGAGGCATGGGTTCACACAGCCTTGTAATTCTCTATGCCCCTTTGCGGAAGGTATTATGTGTCAGAATGCTATTGTGCCCTTTAGTTGGGGTTGTTTGGACCTCTTCAGCTTCTGTAGTTTTGAAGAGTGGCTGAGGTGGGCGGAGTTTCCCCTTCATGTTGTTAGCCATGTCCCAGAAAACAGGCTACTTATGCTTAAGTCCTGCTTATGCTTAAGTCCTATTCCTAAAATCTAGTTTTAAAGGCT